AGTTTGGATTTCCACATATAACTCCCTCTTTGTCGAGCAATGCTAGCTCTAGCAACGGAGTCATATTCTCAGTAGCAAGAAGTCCAGTCCTCGACCACACGTTTTTCAAATGGAGAGGCGTCAAAATTCCACCCTATGCGGTTCCTCTTAGCCTTCAACTAAGTTGGTTTAAAGCACACCTAAAATCCGTTTGCACATCGCCAACAGGTAATTAATTATATTAGTGCAAATATATATATATATATATATATATGTGTGTGTGTGTGTGTGTGTGTGTTAATCGACCTTCTAAAATATAATATAATTCATTAATTTTATTTATTTCTATATGATCAGACTGTGCAAATAGGTTGGGAAATTCTCTAATATTGTTGGGTGATATTGAAGCCAATGACGTGGGCTACTCATTGATCCAGGGCAAATCAATTAGAGAAGTACGGAGTTATGTGTCTTATATAACAGAAGCACAGATAAGTGCAACAAGAGTAAGTACTATATACATCCAATTTAGCTAATTCACAAGTGTCATGGAAAACCTTAGTCATGCTCGAATAAGAAATTCTAGTCTTGCTCGAAAAATAAACAGAATCTTTTCAACACTAACCGAATTTAACTGAATATTGATACATCATGCAGGAGCTGATCAACATGGGTGCGAGGCATATAATAATTCCTGGAAATGCTCTAATTGGTTGTTTTCCATATATCTTAACTGTCCTGCGTAGCAATCATCCCGACGCTTACGATAATATGGGTTGTCTTAAAAGCGTAAATGATTTAATCGCATATAAAAACGACAATCTCCAAGCAGCTATGAGAAATCTGAGCAGAGAGTTCCCAGAAGTTAGCATAATGTATGGCCCGATGGACGAAGGCATGCGACAAGTCATAACCGAGACATTAGCAGGCCAGTATTTGTCTTTTATTATTATTATTATTATTCATAGCGCATCTTTCTAAATTAATTTTCACTCTTAAATTAATTGTTTCAATATTTTTCTTGTAAGCTAATTATTATTAGTTATGTTATTTGGAACGTACAGGCCCGTTTAGAAACACAACACTGCAAGCTTGTTGTGGAATTGGAGGAAAATACAACTACAATAGCAAAAGGTTTTGTGGGAGTCGGGGTGTGCCTGTTTGTTCCAATCCAAACAATTACATATTCTGGGATGGTTTGCACATGACGCAAGAAGCCTCGCTTCGAATTGTTAGAATTCTCATTCAGCCCGCACTTTCTACACTAAACTGCGCAACATAATTTTGTGTCGTATGCACCAAGCCAACCAATTTAATACTTACTAGATAGCTAGATGCTGCAAATTAAGTTGCGTCAAATAATACATCTGCTATTTTGACTCTTCTGTTTATTTTCTGAGGGATGTAATATTTTAATTATTATTCGTTCAAAAGTTTATGTGAATTCGAATTTCACAAATACATATTGACGTGCAATTTAGTTCTTCATTCATATGTTATATATTGTTCATTTACAATAAACCATAGTCTCATAGACTTGCAATTTTTAGGAAATAAAATCATTTGTTTAGTTGACTTAATTTTTATGTAGCGAAATGGAATTTCAAGGTTGATAGACAACATTTTGTAGTTTAAATAAATACTAATGATTAATTAACAATGTATGGTATTCTTATATTATATTTGTACGCTGTAACCAAGATATATAGAAGCAAATATGCTACAATATATTAATTCATATATGTTTCATAAAAAAATATTATTATAATTCAAATTGCAATTCAATATTGAATTCGAATAAAAAAACAAATTAAAAATAGTTAATGTACCACAATCTTAGTTGTGAATCACTATTTACCGCCCCTTTTTTACTAATCACCGCCCTCTAATTACGTTTTTGCCCTACACACTATCTCTCTACTTTTTCCCTCTCGACTTTTTACGGTTCTTTTGACCGTCCAAAAAATATCGTAAAAATCCGAAAAAAATAACATGACATCGGCAAGACATTGAAGATTGACTATGTATTTTTTTTTATTTTTTTACTTTGTAAATAATTTTTAATTTTTTTTTTTATTTTTTTTTTGCGCGTCCGAACGGAACTTCCGGACGCACCATGGGGTGTCGAGAGAAAAAGTAGAGAGATAATGTGAAGGGCAAAAACGTAATTAAGGGGACGGTGAGTAGTAAAAGGGGGGCGGTAAATAGTAAAACTCTACATAGTACGTGCATGGTAATATATTTTTCTATGACACATCAATTTTTTTTATTATTATTCATAACATCGATCCAAATTTACAAACCCATTTTTTATAATGTATAATAGTTTAATATGTGATTTATAAGATTATAACAGATTGTCATTTTAATGTTCATAATTACAATCAAGTGAAAAATTAAGTATGGGAACATTTTTTATCGTTGGTACGTAGCCGCGTGCGCGTCCAACAAGACCCGATGTTTTGTATGTTTTTGTTGTTATTCTATCTATTTTTAAGTGTTATATTTCTCTTCGTTTTAGGTTATTCAAGGTTTTTTCCAGTCAATTTAATCATTTTTTCTCGTTTTTGTGTTTTCATATCGTTTTAGTTTTTTGTGCTTTTTATTTATCCTTAATTTAATCTTTTATTTTTTAGGAAATTGCGTTTTGGAGAGTCGCCGAAAAATCACCGGTAAACTCGCCGGATTAGTTGTAGGAGAGCCCCAGCCTGCCGGCACGGTAAATGCCTGGTGGACCCTAGTCCTGCCGTAGCCTAGCGACCCATGCACTTGCAGAGACCCGTGCCGGCGAAGTTAGATTCGTGTTGTGCCAAGAGACCCGTACCTCTCCCGCATATGCCTAGCGCCGTTGCCGAGAGACTCTCAATGCAATCAACAACAAAACCTCATAATTCCTACCCTTAAATATGATAGCTTACTTTACTCATAAAAAGTGCCGAATATACTTAATAAGATTTACCAAAAATATAACTAACGAAAGTCAAAGTAACTTAAGAGATCTTGAACCGTACACTAAATCTCAATGTTTTT